TATCTTGTACTTGCCAAGAGGTGTAAAGTGTCCAAATAACTGTTTCTGACTGTCTGATGATTGTGTATGAACACATGAAGGTTTTAATTGTGGCCAAACAATGTTCACTGAGAATTTATTGTGAATTATGATGGCTGCACCAGTTAATATACCATTGAGCTCTCTTTCTCCAGTGTACCTCTCTAGCTGACTCCATTAGGAGGCATGTTAGAGTAATGGATAGTGGCTTGGATTGTGGAATCGGTGAGCTGAGTTCGAATTCCAGTTGAATCCATTACATTCACTAACGTGCTAATACCCTTGGGAAAGGTGTGAATCCTCCTCTTCTCCCTCCAGCTATGGGTAAATAGCAGGACAGACTGGGTTCTATAGCCTTGGATGGCAACTGGTCTAGGAGAAGGACAACTCTGAATTCAAAATCTGCAGAAGGTTGTTTGGGTATCTTGTGGCATGTAGTGCACCAAGTCTCTGTATTTGGCCCTTCAAAAAGTGTGGATGTTTATGCACAAAACCTTAACCACCATAATCAAATCTCATGTGCTGGTGTCGGGCTGTCAGTTTCCTAGGAACTGATCTGCTTGATCCTCATACGTCGAATGTCAATGGGAGAGTCGAGTATATATATATATATATATATATATATATATATATAGTACAGGTAATAAATATGTTGGTATATAATCCTAGCGGATCCTAATAATATAAAATATTAAAACTGATCCACAAAAAGAGCTCAATGTATTTATTATAACAGAGCATATACATTACATCCAAAATTACATCATGAGGTAATTTTGGATTTCTCTGTTGTCTAATATATATTCTGCTATGACACTGTGTGTGTTGATGGCAGACACAAAAGGAAAACTACAGGACCTTCTAGACAAGGGTGTAAAAAAAAAAAAAAAATGCAAGAAAGGACTAATTATCAATTGTGTGAAGACAAAATGTATGGTTATCAGCAAGAGAAAAAGTGCAAGATGCAAACAGCAAATTGGAGATGTCAAACAAATACAGAAAATTAAATATCTGGAAAGTGTTAACAGTTTGACACCAAAATAAAAAGCACATTGGATTAGGGAAAGATACATTTCAAAAGTTAATCAAAGTACTAAAGAACAAGAAAGCTTCATTAGAAACAAAGAAAGGAGTGTTGAACTACTATATAACATCAGTCTTCTTATATGGCCTTGAATACTGGACAATTTTCATAGGAAACTGTAGGCAGCAGAAATGGCGTCCTGGGTATGATGATAAACTATATCCACCAGTAAGGCTCTGATCAGCAGATTTTGAGGAGCGTGGAACTGTCTCTTAATTGCTGATGTTCCCAGACCTTGGGTAGTAGCACCTGTTAGGCTCCCAGCTATGGGTAAATAGTTAATCCCTAAACTGGGGGTCAAAACACTATGAAAGTGTAAAAATAGGTTTTAATACCTGCAATACATTTTTTTTTCTTTTAAAAAAAAAAAATATCACCAGCAATAAAAATCTTGTTGGCATTAAATAACCCATTGAGGTTGATATGCTATAAAACAAAATAAACAAAACCAATCTAAACCAAAGAATACATACTCTATTCATACGAATCTATCCTAAAAATGTTGTTGACATTAAATAATCCATTATGGTTGATATGCCGTAAAACAAATCAAACCAGCAACAGAAATGTGTTTCTACAGAAGGATGCTGAGAATACCATGGACTAAACATGTGAACAACAATAAAGTTTTAAAGAAAATGGAAACAAACGGACAGGTACTCAGAATCAGAACGAGATAACTGAAATTTCTTGAACTCATAACGAGGAAGGAGGGCTTGGAGAATTTGACACTCATAGGATATGCTGAAGGCAAAAGAGACAGTGAGAGGCAGCAGACCACCTACCTGACAAGCTTGTGTGAGTGGATGGTGGAATTCAGGGTTGAAGTTATAGCAAAAAGACAAACATTGCTAAGAAATAAAAAGGATAGAAAGCTGTGGAGAGTCTTGAGCGCCCACATCCTAAAGAGACACAGCACATAGGAGAGTCAGGGATACTTTTTCTTTTTAATATATTTTCTTTAATTATGTAACAAGAAAAGAGATCCTGGTCAGCAGTAAATTAATAAACCAACTTTTCCAAATTAACCAATCCCCTTTCAATATGTCTATGGCGAAAGTCGCAATTCCTGCATTCCATAAAAGAGAGCAAGTGTTTCATCTTATTGGAACCAATTCCTATACAAAAATTCATTCTTTGGTGTTTTGGGAGCAAACCAATCCCCTAGTATGACTTTGTACAAGAATTAATTTGCAGTGCCTTCAAAGAAATATTGATTTCTCAAATAGCTTATTGAATTTTTCCACCTTGGTTCTTCATCATCTTCATCCTTCGACCTCCCTATGGCTGGTCAGGACATAGTTCTTTCGGTAGCTGATTGTTATGGTAATTTACCCACGCACAAATGGACTCTCCTAGCTATAAATAGGAGCAAGTACTGCCTTTTGGAGAGTGAAGTTTCCAGTAGTCAGCTCTGAGAGCCGGACAAAACATTCTTGCTGTAACACTCTCGTTTGTATATGTTTGTATTATTGTTTCTGTTAATTCCTCTCTTTGTGTCTTTATTTTTGGCCCTAACAAAGCCACAACACTGATACAAAATGTGGGATACCAACCCTCCATCCAGGTGTTTTTGTCTAGACACCATCTCTAGAAAGACTGCTATCCAAAGCTAAAGACTTCTTTCAAGCCATGAAGTGAATTATCCCATACCAGAGACCAACTTGGAATTTGAATTTCTGCAAACTCTGGATTTTCCCATGAATGGGTGTGGCTGCAAGGCAGTGGATGTTTAAAATCAGAATTTTCCTTCTCTTTTTTTCTTAGATATCAAGGTGCAATAAAGAAATGGTTAACAACACAGAAAATAGAATAACTGTGCTGAGTTAAGATTCTGATGAAAATGTTCAATTTGTACTAATACACTCGAGAAAGGCATGAATCCATCTCTGCTCCCACTAGCTATTAGTAAAATAGCAAAGTAGACTGGGCTCTGTAACCTTGGCTAGTAACCACTCTGAGGAAGGAAAGCTCAAAATTCAAAACAATAGAAAAAGCCAAAGAAGAATTATGGCAATGCACTGTTTATATATATTAAAAAAAAGGGAAACTGAGGAGAGACATAGTTCTGGGTATGACGATAAACTAAATCCAGCAGCAAGGCCTCTGATCAGGAGATTGGAGGTTTTGATGTGTGTGAAACCACCTCTTAATTGCTGTTGTTCCCAGGTCCACCCTAACCTGAAGTGGTAGCACCTGTTAGGGTCCCAGCCATGGGCAAATAAGGAACACCCAAACAAAAACAAAACACTACGAAAGTACAAAAATACCAGCAATACATTTTTATATGCAAAAATGATCAACAATACCTATTTATAATCGAGAAGGTATATAATTGCATTCAAAATATGTTTGGTTGAAGCCATAAAATTGTATTCAAAATATTTACATTTCAGCATTAAATAACCCATAGAGCTTGCTGTTTGGCTGATTTTGGCTAGTGGTATATCAACACCTCTATGGGTTATTTAATGCTGAAATCTAAATATTTTGTACATAATTTAATGCTTTCAACTGAAGATATTTTGTACATAATTTTATACTTTCAGAGTAAAGGTATGTTTTTTTACATATATATTTTGTAGCCCATAAAATTTATTGTTGGTAATTTTTTAATGTATTACTGGCAATTTTATTATAAAAATGTATTTTTATACTTTTGTTTTAGTGTTTTATTGTCATTTTATTATAAAAATGTACTGTTGATTTTTGTTTGGCAGTTCACTATTTGCCCATATCTGGGACCCTAACAGGTGCTACCACCCCAAGTTAGGGTGTACTTGGGAACAACAACAGTTAAGAGGGTGCTTCAGACTCCTTCTCAAAATCTCCAATCTCCTGATTAGAGGGCTTGCTGCTGGATTTAGATACTGAGAGAAAAGGTAGATCACAGCCCTTTGTAGGATCAGGTTGAGATCATAGACAAAGAACATCATAGGAAAATTCGTAAACTTAAGGAATCAGCACATATGCTAGGCCACAAAAATCTCCTGAGCTGACCAAGCATAGAAATGAATACAATATGGGAACCAGTAATAAGAAGTGCCAGAAAAAAGCGATAATAACAATGAAAATTGCAATATGAGCTCTAGTAAAAAAAACATGCAATGATGACAGCAAAAATTGCAATATGAGCACTGGTAAAAAATGATTGCTGAAGACATTAGGTTAGCCAGAAATTCATACACAGATATCCTCAACGACAAAAGACACAGTGTATAAAGGCATTAGTTAGATCCAGTGACAGGACCCAAAGAGTGTGAGTTCAAGGCAGTGGAGAACTTGGAGAGGGGAATTAACAAGAGATAACTGATAAATGACATCCATTAGACATGGAAATAGAACAGTCTACCCCAGAGAGCAAAATAAAGGGTTCAGTTGGACATTCCAACCACCTGAAGAAGGCCAGAACGTACAATGACTGAAGCGTTGTGATTAATAGTCAGAATAATGTAAATAGTGTACATAATGCCTCATCTCAGGAATATAGACAGATACTGGATGTAGTTTATCATCATACCCAGGACAACCATAGAGCTTGATATGCTGCTAAACAAAATCAGCCAGCCATATTCAACATATTCAATTATATCCTGAAGTGGCAGTTTTTTTTTTAATTATATAAACTTTCTGTTCTCTGAAATCAAGTGAATAATCTATCATGTGCAGTGGGTGATGTGATAATGATCCAGTCTGGGGTGCATGTCTCAAAACTGTCTTTGTGATTAACCTTGATGACTACCTTGAATTCATTACTGCTGCTGTCACTTTGATAATATCTTTGTTTGAATTCTTAAACTACTCTGCTCCAAAATTATTTCTCTCTTTTGTTACAGGATAAAAGAAAAAGTGACCGTTGTCTTTCTTCAGAAATTGTACCTTTGAAAAAGGTTATAGAATGGATCAATCTAAAACCAAAGTTTCCACAGCAGTTTTTCTCTCTCATATACAACAAATGACAGTATACATTAGTTTATCTTGACTGGGGGTGGGTCTTGAAATGGTCTTTGCCATTAATTTCAAAAACCACATTGCCTTCTTAGCTACGATTTATGTTTTGGCAACAACTTTGTTTAAATTCTTGCCTGCCTTATCCCAAACTTGGATCCCGTTTTTTGTCTTTTCGTTGGGGACTGGCAGATATTAACTACTTGACACAAAAATATTTACTGTGGATAGGGCGACCTTTAGATAAGATGAGGTCAAAAAATATAGCAAATTTTCATGAATTTATCCTATACCTGTAGTATAAGATGACTGCTTATTGATTATATAAAGATGATGTTATTGGAAATGTCGTTACTTACTGTATCCTTAGAAATTCAAAATAAATGAAATAACAAAACCAATTCTATATCATGTTTTTCCCACTCATGTCCCATAAAAGAGAAACCATTGTTTTGTTAACGTTTCATCACATGATATCTTGTGAATACTAATTCTTCTGTTTTTATATCTAAACAGTTCCAAACAGCCTGGTGTACTAATGGCCATTTACTTATACTTCATCAACAATCACAAAATACCGCTAACAGTATGATAATGTACGATAATAGTACATTCTATTGCTGTGAATGCAGTCATAGATCAATGTTTACATTTTCTCAGTTGAGCTTGCATGGATACAAATGGATTTCATTGATATCAAATTATTCTTTGAATAGGCAATTTATTATGAAATTATGCCTGTAATATATAAGGTAGAAATGGTTTTATCATCAATTTATTTGATAATGTGAATCTTTTCATGTACTTTAATGGTTATCGCATTATACAGTTTATTTGGTGTAGTTTGAGATGTAAGCTTTTTATTTTGGAAGTGTGTTTTAATATTTATGTAGCTATTTTTGCCTGAAACTGCTTCTGATGAGTTAAAATGTATAAGTTTATAATTAACATAATAATTAGTTTTATTATGTGAAATATGTTGCATATTTAGATATTTTAATGGACGTGACAATATAAACAAAACTTAAAAAAGCATATGGCCATAGAGCAAAAAGTTGTCCTGATTGAGCAAAACCAAACCAAAAAACATATTTTGACTTTCATTACATTTATTTTCATCTCAGATGCTACCTGAATTTTGCCTAAAAAGAAAAATAATATCCATGCCCGATCCTGATAGAATGACCTATTGAAAGTACTAGCATGAAAAAAAAAAATGTAAAAAACAGTATGAGGTCATAGTTTAAAAAATTGACCTGAGTGGTACATTGAATCATACTGGAACTTTATCCATATTCAGCCCAAATCAAGACAATTTTCTTTTTGTGCATTTATTACAACTTTATGAAAATTTAATATTTGGGGAAATGATTCCCATTTCCATTTGAAGAGGAAATATTAAAAGAAAATAATTGTTGGATGGTCCATGTTACTAGAACTTTATCCATCATATATTATAATTGCCCCAATTCAAAAGATTTCTTTTTTGGGTATTACAACTTTATGAAAATTTAAATATTTGTAAAAAAAATATATACTGGGACTTTTCAAGAGGGAATATTAAGAAAGGAATTCTTGAATGGTACATTGAATGTTAGTGGAACTTCATCCAAGTTCCCTGACAATACTTCTGACATGTCCTAATAATTTTATTTTATTATCATTCTCTGTCGTTATTTTTATAAATTCTAGTCATCATATTCTCTATAGATCTTCTTTTCTCCTTTCTTTTTTTTAAATTCAGACAGCCCCATTCGAAGAAAATCCAATTTTTTCCACCAAGTCCTAAAGCGCAGCAAATCAACTGGCACAGACTGCATTCTTCGCAATAGCTATGTCAATTTCGAAAACATCTATGGTGCACGCATTGTGCACCGACGCACAAAGGAACAAAGCAAAGGTGAAGGCTTTTGCATTGGGATTGCAATCCTCATCTACGAACGGCAAGGTAACAACAAACTGCGGGAAAAGAACTTGACCTTTGCTAATCCTTGTCATGAGATTTGCAAGCGGTGGGTTGAGGAAATGGAACAGATTCTTGGTGGTGAGTATTATTATTATTATCATTATTGTTTTATTTCCTTTAATCTCTGTTGTATACTCATTTCCTTCTGGGTCCCAACCAGAGACCTAAGGTCAGACATGGCATCATGACATTTTCCACTAATCATTTTTGTAAACAAAAAAAATCAAAAAAAAAATCCTAAGATCACACACATTTTACATAGATGAAGTCCTTCATAAAGTTTGAGCTGTACTTGTGAGTACATTTTTTGTAATTCTTTAAGGCTTGGGCTACCAGGAATCCCTTCAATTAGTCTATCAGAACCTTTTCCAATCAATCCGAGGGCTCCAACTACAACTGGAATTGTTGATGTCCTCATATGCTACATTTTTGAGATTTCAATTTGTATTATTATTATCATTATTATTATTTTATTTCCTTTGATTTCTGTTGTCTATGCATTTCTTTCTGGATCCCAACCAGAAACCTCCTAAGGTCAGAAATGGCATCATGACATCTTCTACTAATCATTTTTGTAAAAAAAAAAAAAAAAACAACTAAGATCACACACTTTATACAGAGATAAACCCATTCGTAAGGTGCTGTACTTGTGAGTACATTTTTTTGTATTTCTTTAAGGCATGGGCTATAAGTGACTACTTCAATGTGTCTCTCGAAACCTTTTCCAATCAAGCAAATGGCTCTGATTACAACTAGAATTATTGATGTTTTTATGTGCCACATTTTTTAGATTTCTGCTTCAAGACCCCCTTGTATTTTGATAGTTTCTTGAAGATCTTCAAAGGTACATAACAGTCTGCAGAGAATGCCATGTCAATAAGAAAGCTCATTCATTATTAATAACCATGACTGATGTAAATCTTCCAATATTTTGCAACAATTACAGAAAAGTGCATTTTAAGAAAAGACACAGTTTTTAACAATATTTCAACAGTATGTCTGTCCTCATTTTTATCATTGTGTTTGGTGCGAAATGATTAAAAAATATAATTGACTACCAGTGCTTTGTGCCTCATCTATCCAAGAGTCTTGGTAAAAATTCATAGGCACAGATGTTACCAGTAGTTTGTTCTTCAAGAGTAAATACACATCTGAGTTAAATAAATAAGACCTCTTTGTAACACCTAACCTGACCCCACCAGATCAATGTACTTTACAAGACCAGCCATTGCTCCTGTCCTGTTCCAGTATTACAGGTTCAATCAAAGTCTCCGTTTCACAATGTTGATTCAATTCCACTTTCCAGCCACGTTGTGATTTTTTTTGATCCTGGAGAGCAAATAACAAATCATAGATCTCGGAAGATTCAGCTGGTCTACCTGTAAGTTCATTGGTGTGAGAATTGGCCCAAGCAGAAAATTCAAATATGAACAAGTTGGTTTGAGTCCAAAGAAAAAAAATTAGGTATATGTATATAAGGAAGAGATTGGTACAAAAAGAATAATGCTTCTTTTACAAGAAAGTAGTGTATATGAAATAAAGTCCAGAAAAAAAAACAAATATTGCAAAAAATTCTGAAAGTGAGAAGTAGTTTTGGGGTTCACTTTTTTTGTTCTTAGTAGTTGCCGTAATTATTTCACTATCAGAATATAAAAGGGTTCACTGGCAGTATTGTGCCAATATTGCAGATAATTTGAGTTCACTTCCTCCAGTATTACAACAGCATGTGGATGCTTTCACTCTCACTGCCTATCTCTCTTTCTCTGGTCAACTGCTTGTCAAACCACTTCACCCAGCTCCAATTCCAACTTCAACCTCAACAGTTTGTTTTCGCACAAACACGCGCTTAAATAAATGCAGTGGTAGCAACAAAAACCCAGAGTGTTAGTAAACTTAGAATGCAACCTGATTAATGACCTCTCCCCCTTCATGATTAAATGAACAGTCTCTTCTTCTCAATTGGTATTCCATAGTTCATATAAACACTATTGTTTTGACATTTTATATTAATAATTCTGATGAAGCACAGATTCTCTGGGCACAAACTTCACCACAGATTATTTTTTTCATCTATAAACAAAATTCTATATTACTATAATTATTAATATTTCAAGGGTGACCATTGCTCTTTGCCGCACTTGCTGATTGTAGAAAAATAAATTTGAAGGCTTTTATGACAAGAAATTTCACCTGGATTTGAAGCTTTCTTGTACAGACTGCCAGAAACCAAGGTCAATAATTTACATTACATGTGATATTTCATCATACTTACTAAAATATTTGAATTGCCACCTATATATAGTTACCACCTGAGAAATATCTTTGTCAATCAGTGTTCGCCATTCATTATGTACTTGATCGCTGCCAGAGTTTTATTTTCCTGTTTAATTTCTTTTTATCGTACCTGTAATTATATCGAACAAGAACATTCCACTTCGATGATTAAAATTACCTGTTTAATTACTTCTAATTTTGAATTACTTCTCGTTTAATAGGTAACACTTTTAAATCAATATTTCTGCTTGGGAATTTTTTATTTTTCATTTTTCTTTTCTTAATTTTGAACAAACCTGAAAAGATTTTTTCTTTATCAGTTTCTTCCTCTTTTCTTTTGTTATTTGCTTTCCTTCTTCTGCCCACATACACGCCCAATTATTTATAAAACTCATTATTAAATTACTGTATTTTGTTTTTTTTAAGGCATCATTATTATCATCATCATCATCACCATGATGACCAACATCGGTAATATGATATTACTATTAGAATATCCAACAGAAGGTTAATTTCTGAATTAGAATCAGTTCTTGTGTGTAAAATTTTGCATTCAATGAACAAAAATTCACATTTCATTGTATTCATGTGCATTCTATTAGCAAAGTACCTCCACTAATTCAGTATTCATAAGATTTAAAATTGTTTTTTTAAAATGAAAAATCTTCCTTGAAGCTTTCATTTTAGCTTTACTTGAAAGCTAAAGGATTTAAAACTTACTATTTCCAGTAAGCAAAATACTCTGTGGCATATGTCAGAAATTGATTGGAAGTGATTTTATTTTATTAAAATCCATCAAAACAGCCATTTTTGACACCTTTATAAACAAAAGTTAATACTTGGTTTTAAAAATTTTGCAGAAGTATGTATTTCTGAAACATTATTTGAGGAAAATTAACAAATTTAAAGTTAAATTAATCTCATTTGAAACAAATATTACTTGTAGCATAAAATATTGTTTACAAACATTTCTTAACTACATAGTCTTGTTTTTCTGACATGTTAAGTGACTTATTTACATTTGATTGACAGCCAAACATGTACATAGTTAAGTATGGTGAAGCAAATGATTAAGTTTTTTTCACTGTAAGGGAAGGGACAACCCTTAAAACATGTGACCTTTAAATGCTAGATTTATCGGTTTGTACATCCATACTTCAGAAATTCTGCATGTAATCACACATAAAAAAACAAACCAAAATTCTTTTAAAAATATTCAGGGTTTTTTTTCAATTCAGAATAGATTTTCATTAAGACCAGTTCTGATCTTGTGGTGGCAATATTCTAAGCATGGACGAATGGTAAACTTATAGATATGTAAGATAGATTCTGGAAAGAAAAATCGTCTTGCACAATGGAAGGTAAAGAAGGGTCTTTCAGATGATTAATGGAGAGAAGTTTAGTTTTGGAGTGTTAAAATGAACAAGCCATATTTTGCCTCAGTTAATGACTTTTGGACATCGGCTACCATTTTGACCTTGTTGGACTGATCAGCCTTACTATCGAGTAAATGGTTGTGTCATCAGCGTAGATACCAAGTTGAGAGCTGATGTCATCAGGAAGGTCATTAATGAAAATTAAAAACAGTAGGACCAAGGATGGAGCCCTGGGAGACACCTGCATTTGTATGAAAGGATCTAGACAAGTGAGAATTCAGGATAATGATTACCTGCCTTTATAGAACTGATTCCTGAAAATTTGAGATGTCATTATTATATATATATATATATATATATATATATATATATACTTTTAACCTTACAGTATCATCAGGCAATTTTTTATCAAATGACCTCTTAAAACTTTATTTTTAAAAAAAAAACAAATTAATGCACATTATATTATTTTGCTTAAAAAAAATAAATAAATAAATGCAAAATGTTGGGTGTAATAGAAAGGGAGGAGGATGTGAAGAACAAAGGAGAAGAAGGGGGAAGAGAAGAAAAGCAAGGGTATTATAAATGTATTGGTGGTGGTGGGTAATTGAAATGCACATATTTTTTTTTATCCAGCCTCATATGTGCTTAAGAGGAATTTCCTAATATGTAAGCAAGGGCTCAAGACTTCAGTTTCTGGTTCAAAAGGTTCTTTGGATTCAGAAATGTCATAATTGCTAATTTTTCCTGTTGGCAGAGGTTGCAAATATTGTTGTGGTCATTATAAGGCTTTACCTTTTTAAAAATTTTCCACCTTACAATTGGATCCCTGTTGTTGTTTTTTTTCTTCTAATTTCTACATATGGTCAGAAAGTGTTAAGAGATCATTTGATAAAAATCACTTAAGGATACTATAAGGTTGAAACCAAGGTAGCGGATTCAACTGACCTGATTTTTAAAGTTAAAAGCTCTACATGTTATTTTTACTTTTATTTTTATTTATTCGCATGTCTATTGAGCACATTTTAATATTACTGTTTCCTGGTCAGATTCAACTCTGACCATTAACCTTTTATGTATTTTATATATATATATATATATATATATATATATATATGTGTGTATTAAAAATATAATATTATCGGTAATATTCATTGAACGGACAGGTTTACCACATGTAATTGCCATTCCTCAGCTGACTTGCATTCTTTCTGTTTTTCCTGCTTTAAGTACAAATGTCTGACATCTGAGGGAATTGTAGGAAAAGGTTACATACTTTTATGTCTCCATTTATTGCTTTCATAGCCAAATATTTCTTTTGTCTTTTCTTTACAGGCTTTACTGAGCGACCCAAGAATGTAAAGGTTATATGTCAGCCCATTTCAGGAAATAAACATGGGAAGAATGTCTATGCAAACGTTATTGAGCCAATCTTTAAAAACGCCAACATACAGATTGACTACTCTGGTAAGGGATTCACACTAAAATTTCTTCATTGATCGTCTTTTAATTCTTATCCTTTAGTAAATATAAAGAACAAAAAAAAAAATAAAATCACCCCCCCCAAATAAGCATATGAATTTTTAAGGGAAAAGGTATTATTTTATTGGAACAATGCATTTGTCCATGCATGTGAAAAGTGTCGCTGTAGAATATTGGTTAGCTTGCAAGTGGTCTGACTGGTGTAGTCACTTCCAGTTGAATTTTCCATTGAGTGATTTGATGGATACATATATTGGTGAATTGAGTCCACTCATGCAAATGTGTTGGGCAGGTCCATTCTAGTAAAGTAGACTAACCCACCCGCTGTATTAGGTACTCTCCTATGAGATAGAAATGAGGTACCCTGCATTTACAAGGAGACAAGTAGGCAGCCATGTTGGAAGGTAAGTCATTTGACTTCAGCAGTCACAAATTTACAAAAATTTTTTGTGCATAATATGAAAAGTTAAAGGTAAAAAAGTGGGGGTTGTACTATACACAAGTACACATTTTCAGAAATATTCACTCAGCTTAAAAAACCTCTTATTTGAAACAGCAAAATTGCAAATACACTCAGTACAATAGATAAAACACAAAGTAGGCAGGTGTTTATAAAAAGTATTTGATATGTCAGCAATACTGTAGTGAGTGTGAAATAATAATAACTCCTCTCAGCCACTCTTTTCAAATTTGGAGGACTGAGGAAGGAGAAGGAAAAAAATTTGTGTGTTTATATGAAGTTGTTTTGGGACCAATGAAAAACTTTCATTCACATAAATTAGCCAGTTAGCCAAGAAGAAGTAAAGCAAGTACACAAAATTCTTTTTGATATAAAACAAGGAAAAAAAAAACATTAATCAGAAGAGCGATTGCAGTTATGTGCAAGGTTTTGTTTCAGTTCCTTGAAAACAGTGTTGAAATTATCATCAGTGTAAAATTACTTGCCAGTTATATTATCAGCCACTAACCACTATGCATTCCTTCAAAGAATTTTCTCTCAACAATCCAAGAAAGCCATATTTATTACAATGTTTCAGCCGTTGTACACTCCAGCCTTCTTCAGGTGGTTGAAACGTCGAACTGAATACTTTTTTTCACTTACTGGGGTAGACTGTTCCTCAAGGACACATGGCACAGTGGATAAAGGTGTGTGAAGATCCAGTGAAAGGACCCAAAGACCGTGAGTTCAATACCCATTTATGGCAGTAGGGAACTTGGAGAGGGGAATTAACAGGAGATAACTGATAACTGACATCCATTAAAGACATGGCACGTGGAACTAGAACAGTCCTACCCCAGTGAGCGAAATAAAAGGTTCAGTTTGACTTTCCAACCACCTGAAGAAGGCTGGAGCATACAACAGCCGAAACGTTGTAATAAATATGACAACAAAGATGAGGACAATAGTCCGAATAATGTAAATAGTGTACATAATACCTCATCTCAGAAATATAGACAGATAATCCAAGAAAGTTACATATTTCAAACTCACTTCATCTACGTTTGAACATATACAAACCATATATTCCTTTGGTGAGCAACGAATTGTCTTACCTTTGTTTTAGACATTTTTTAATATTATTTTGTGTCAGGTCATTTAATCTTTTGTATGCACATTTCCTCTTCATGACAATATATTGAAACTATGGTCTTTAAGAATTCTGATTTATTTTCCTGAAATTAGCTACTGAGACAACTTTGAGTGTCTAAATTCATAAATAAATTCCTTATCTTGTTTTGTTAAAATTAACCAAGTGTTTCTTCATCATTATTATTCTTCATTAATCTTTTTGGTGTGGGTAAATCAACTGTTCACTTTAACTCCTAAGACCCCTGCTACTATAGAATCAGTGTAATTGCATACCTTTTCTCTCAAAGACAGGAAATTTACCGAAATTGATTAAACAAATTAATAAAGAAGATACACAAGATGTCGTGTTTTGATGACATTAATGTTACAACAAAACACCATTCCTCGAAAATAAGGTTTGGAACGGAAATTAAAAGAAGAAGCATGCAATAGCTAAACATCCGGTTCATTTCTATTCTTTAATGTTGTGAAAAATTAAATATTTTAATGAAATATATGTATGACATTGAGATTTTAGGGATAACATGGTCCAACTTTTAAAAAAAATTACATAGTGATGATTGTACTACAGGGTTGTATTATAATCAAGGATGTAATTTATTCCGTTTTTTGTTTCAGAAACATGATGTTGTATTATACTAAAGATATATTATACACAAGAAAATACAGTATATATTTTTAAAAGAAATTCTGAGAGTATGTGGGGTCACTCACATAATACCAGCAGGGATAGCCTCATGTTCACAGGAAGAAAAACATGCACAGAAGTAACACTGACTAAAAACATGTTAAATTGTAAATTAAAACCATATAATTTTATTTATTTTGTGTACATGTGGGTGTGTGTGTATTTGTTGTGGAGATGAACACACCTCTCCAAAGAGGAGTTGTACTCATTGAAATACATTATAAACTGATACTGAGAATCATCAGAAGAAGGAGTAAACAAGTAGAAAGTTAGAATCTAGCTTATATGTTTGCTACCTATTTCAACAAGACTATGTTGACTCCAAGTGATATACTACTACTTGATTGTGTTATCTTCATTCAGTGCAATGAAGACATAACAATGTTTTACCTATATGTGTTTTAAGGTTACATGTGATAGAGGAAGAAAGTTACTTCATCTTACAACAAGCAAAATGTTGAGGAGAGGAGATAGACATCTTGCCCCTCTGAGGGTCAGTAGGGAAGTGATATTTACCTGACCCCCACTGAGTCAGGATGTGACACAAGGTCGGTTTAACGTGGGAGACCCGAGTGGAAACACTCGGGCCACTGGTCCAAAACTGGTCATAGCATGTCCAAGCTGGTCAAAGCTTAGTCCAAGCTGGTCAAAGCTTAGTCCAAGCTGGTCCTGGCTTGTCCTAGCTGGTCCAGGCCTGAGCAGGTCCAAGCTAGACGTAGCCGTGATCGAATCTCAGCCAAAAGGCCGAGAAGCGATCCAAATCCGCAAAGATAGAGATTTTCCAAGCGTAGCTTAGATGTGGCACAAGGCTGAAAGTATGGGGCACCCAGTGAGGATCGAACTCACTACTCAGTGGTAATCGTTCTAGCAAGACAAGTTTGCAAACCATTACACTGCCTCGAGGTGCCCAGGGTCCGTAGGGAAGAGAGTGAGTTTGGAGTTTTTTGGCATGAAGTATCCGTTTTCTGGCAGGAAAAATTTTCTGTTGTATACTTTTATTATTTTGGTTTTATTTATTTTAAACAAATTTTTAATGTTATTTATTTTATTTGATATTTATTATTATTTTTATATAATATTATTTATTATTAATAATAATAATAATAATAATAATGTGACATAAGAAGTGGACTGTGTATACAATATTGGGAACTGTCAGAAGAAATTTTTAAAAGAATATAAAAACAAAAATTTGATATCATACTAAAATTAACCCTTAAGAGATTACAGGGACAATCTATCAAGTGAAAAGTTGAATGATAAAGACAACTGGGCCGATCCATTGGTCCAATAATACAAGCCTCAAGATTAGCTGACTGGTTTTCATTCCAGCCAATCAGATTGCTTCTTGCATTTTTTGCAAATCTGGGCCTTTCAATGGCAGTTTCTATTATACTTTGCTGTGTTCTCTGATTTTATATTGATTTTTTTTTTTTTTTTGTGTTTCAAGTGAGGGTTTGTGAAAAGGGTTCTGTCTTCTTGCCATTGAAACTCCAAATAAGGCTCTGTCTCCAAAGGGTTAAAAAAAAAAAAAATCAGCATTCAGTATTTTAATTATTTTTCTCTTTGTTGAATGGGTATTTTTCATGGTGTTCTATTGAGATGCCCATTGATGTGCGAATCAATAAAATGAATATGCTGTTTGCCACTGAAAGAATTTCTTTATTCCAGAAACTTCTATAACTGAATATCATTTGACACTCATATACTGTAAAAAATATGTCCCATGAAACACATCTGTTAGACCAGTGTTTCTCAACCTTTTTACGCAATGGCACACTAAGGAGCAAATGAAAATATCATGGCAAAATTTTAAATATTATGAAAAAGAACTATAGATTTAAAAATACACACACAAATTCAACAATTCAACTATTTGTGCAACTTATTTAATGTGAAACCCATGCCTGGTGTTTTTTCGGGATTTCTTCAATATTTGGTTGAATGTGTGATAAGCAGACTCTCATTTCTTCTTCAGCTGAGCATAGTTTTTCTCGCTTTTTATTTTTAATGTTATTTACTGTTAAAACGCCTAATTCACATAAATAAGAAGTAGAAAATTGCAATAAAACTGATAAAGCTTTATTTTTTATTAATGTGGGATAAAAAGTTTAATACTTATTCATTTATTCAAATACTAATGCTGTACCATTACGACTTACACACACACATGTATGCCGTGACAATATTTTGCGGCACACGTAAGAGTATCGTGCACTACATTAGTGCACCCGGCACGTCTGTTGAAAATCACTGGTCTACACTGAGAAATATGACAAAGATGGGGTCAATAGTTTGAACAATGTGAATAGTATAAATAAGTCTTACTTATTTTACAGAGTAGCCTCCATGACCAAAAATCGCCTTGATGCTGAGGGTCTGATATTATTTAGGGTTGATGTGTGGAACTAGAACAATCCACCCCGGTTGTTGAAATAATGGGTTCGGTTCGAAATTTCAAAATATATCACCTGAAGAAGGCCGGAGGGTATAACGGCTGAAACATCATAAATATGACAATAAAGATGAGGACAATAGTTCGAACAATGTGAATAGTATAAATTCTATTACATTTTATTATTTTTTATTATATCTTATTTTACAGAGTAGCCTCCACCACCAAAAATCGCACATAGCAAAATTCAAACTTATTTATTTTATGTTGCTAACAGTTTTACTATAGAAAGGAATTACAAATCTAGACGA